ACCGTCAAGATCTGGGATGCAGCGACGGGCACATGCACGCAGACGCTCGAGGGCCATAGCGGTTCGGTCAACTCCGTCGCGTTCTCGCCCGACTCAAAGCTCGTTGCGTCCGGGTCAAGCGACAAGACCGTCAAGATCTGGGATGCAGCGACGGGCACATGCACACAGACGCTCGAGGGGCATAGCGGTTCGGTCCGGTCCGTCGCGTTCTCGCCCGACTCGAAGCTCGTTGCGTCCGGGTCAGTTGACAAGACCGTCAAGATCTGGGATGCAGCGACGGGCACATGCACGCAGACGCTCGCGGGGCATAGCCGTTCGCATGATGTCACGTCCTTGAAGTTGTTTGCCTCCTGGTCAGGTGACGTGAAGCTCCCCTATCAATATGGTATAAGCTCGGACTGCAGATGGATTACAAGGGACTCGGAAAACTGGCTGTGGCTTCCTCCAGAATATCGGCCGAGATGTTGGGCCGTAGCGGGATCTACGATTGCCACCGGCTGTGATTCGGGACGTGTCCTAATTATGACGTTACCGGCAGACAGCTAGTGCCGAGCTCTCTCCTCTCAGTTTCTCTCTCTACAAAGGGCCTTTTGAGCAGTGCTTCTTTACGCACGACCCAATAAGACGCTTTCATAGTTATGAAAGGTCGTAAACCATTCAACTGATGGTCTCTCACTAGGCGTCGTAAGATTGATTCAGGCTCGCTACCTTAGATGTAAGACAGCAAGTTTATACTAGCATAGAGAGGCGATGAGGTGGAGCTAATGTAGAGGGATAGAGAATAGACAATAAATTGCAAGGTCCTTAAAGATCGATCAGCTCCGCTCCCACTCAAGAGTACGTATTCGGCCCAACCTCATGTGTTAACGTCACGTGAAGCACGCATAATATCTCCTCTATTTCATCCACCGACGACTCATAAGGCGCCCCGCGTAGAATTCGGTTCAGAATTTACAAAGGAGCCACGGACAATCTCACCTTCTGGTGGAATTCCTCTAGTACCTCAGGATATTCCTCGAAATGGGTAGTGGGTTCCTAAGAATTGTACTTCTTCCCATACCCAGCCCACTTGACCAGGTACTCCAATCCCTTTTCTCCCTGTCTTCACTCAAAATCTCCTCGACGTTATAATACTCGTCGCCTTGAACCTTCTCAGTCGATGGGGTAACTCTTGAAGAGAGGGCACGTGCCGTCAAGAAATACCTTCCTCCTAGTGACTTGCACCATAGGATTTCGAATACACGGTCATATTGGCCATGGATTCGTGCCATGATTCGTACAAAGATTCCACGTGAACTCCACCTGAAACGTCGCTGCCCCGCCCACCCGAACGCGCTTGAGGACCGCTTCAAGTGGCCATTCCTCAAAGCTTGCGAAATCGGCTTCAAGTGCCCCCTCTTCCAAAGTCGACACCCCTGAAGATTGCGGCCTGGAATTCCTGTGCTGTCTTTGGCGGCGCTTTGGACCTTGGGTTGGTGGTGGTTGTTGAGCCTGTAGCGATAGGGAGTTTTTGCGAAGACGTGCCTTGCGGCGCTTCCCTTGTGGCAGCTGAATGACATCCCCATCTTTGCCTTGCTTCACGCCACTTTCCACACTAAGAAAGCACTCCTCCTTGCCATCAGTATCGCAATGACGCCGCCGTCGATAACGACCGGGGTTCTGCTGAAGGTCGACCTTCTTCACGTCGGGCAATTCGGTGGTACTAGCTCTCGTTGTTCCAGAGCCTTGCTTTACGTCGCGGCCGAACGACGCATGTTTCCGACGCGTCGCCCCAGTGCCGGGGGTGACGATCCCCCCAGACTTCACCGGCGAAGCTTCTGTCGCCAGAGCCAGGTTGCTCTGCTGCTGCATTGTCTTCTCACTGGTCGATCTGGACGCAGCTCGACGGTTTTGGAGGGCGGGGGTGCCATCGTCATCCTGCTCTCTGTCTTCTGGAACGAGAGGATGGCGTTCTCCGTCACTCGCTGGATCGCTGTCGTCATGGTGATCAGGGTGTTGCGCGAGGCGGCAGCTGGCGGACCTCAGTTGTGGATCAACCCCACGACTGGAGGCGACGTCGCATAGGCTCTGGGGCCGAAGGCGTGGCTCAGTATCCGCTGGTTCGAGCTCAGTGGTACTCTTTGTCATCCGGCAGTGTGGGTGTTCGTGCCCGCTCTTCGCTGTCATTTGGGATCAGATAATGGTGCTCTGGGCTGCCCTTCTGACTGCTGTCGCCGCAGCGATCACAGTGCTGAGAAAGGCAATGGCCATCGGATTGACGCTATGACTCAAACCCAAGACCAGAGGCAGCTAGGCGTGGACTATGAGGGTCCAACATGGATTGCGACTGAGCGGCACGTTTCTGCCGGATCACCGCGAAGGAAAATGGGAACGGCCAATCCCATTCTTCGCTGCCAAGGCATATGGAACCGTCGTGATTCGACGTCGTTCCGCACGGCTTTTCAGACGACCGGGGAGAGTCAGACAACGTCTCTGGAGAAGGCCCTAGGCTATCTCTCTGTTGCTGCTCGTCTGCAACCTCATCGTCTGGGCCAGGCTCACTGATGACCGAAGGCTTTGATACGTCGATATCGTCGGGAACAGTGTCGCGACTTTCGCCTGCGTAGGCATGTTAGCGAACTCGCTTGCCCGGGAAAGGAAATTTAGGTACATACCTGCACTAGCAACACCGCTGGATTCAAGCTTCTTGGATGCAGCCGCGACGAGCTCGTCAAGCGACGCGAAAGACATGTCGGATCGGCCATCGTCAGAATCGTCATCGGACTCGCTATCACGGATCAGGATCGCATTGTTCTGCGACTTCCCTGCACCACCATGTCGAGAATCATGCGCATCCTGTTGTGGCGGCGGCGGAAGGAAAGGAGCAGGGTTCCCCCTTCCGAAGGAGAAGCCCGCGATTCACAGGGCAAGGGCCTGCCGCCACAGGGGGGTTGTAAAAGACCTGGTTGTCGAGGCAGACTGTTGCCATCTCACTGCTAGTGATAATGCGCGCTGGTGAAGTGCAGAACGTGTCAAAGGTTTGGGCAAGGATGGTCCTGGAGGTGTATGCGGTGCAAGCTGTTTACCTTCGTATTCCTGGGGTGTTGGGGAACGAGCGAAATAGATCTGTGTACCGAAAGTTGCCCGATCATCGCTGAATTGGCAAGGAGCTAGGCCCCGCGCTCTCCGTCCTCACCAGCCTCCCAACCCCGGCTCGCGATGAGGAACGTGCTCAGCCGTGTAACGCCTCGTTCCATGCGGTTCCCCAGTTTGGTGCGGGGAATTCATAGGTTCCTCGCAACTCTGCCAATCATGCAATTGCCGAGACAGAAAGGACAGGGCCCAGGAAAAGGGAGGCGTCGCAGGACATCGTATCATCACGGCCCTTGCCCTAAGGCCCCGTGGTCCACGACGTTGCTACGGGTTGCCGAGGGCGGCTCAGCAGAAGTGGGTGTTAGCGTATCGTCTCCTGCAACGCCTTCCTACGTCTGTCTGCATGCGCCTCCTCCATGTCGTCCGGTTTCTGGTACTGCCCATGGCAAAACAGAATCTCCCAAGCAGTCTCACACACGCCATCGTTCCCACCAACCAACTCCTTCTCAAACCCAATCTGCCTCGCCATCGGTAAAGCGAAGGCAGCGGCGCCAGCAAGGTCGCATCATCGTTTCGGCGGCTACATCGGCCTCCTTGACTCGGCCTTGCCATCCCTGTTCGCTGTGGCCGGTGCGTCGCCCAGAAATAGGTCGCAGTCGGGTCAGGCTGGTTACCAGCATCCACCGCCACAGCTACGCTGGCATTCGGTCCGATTGTGGCCGAAAGAGTTCTGCGGTCCGCACACCGAGACGCTCTGGATCCGCCAAGCGAGAGGAGGCCCCTTGGTGTCTCCGCATGTATTGAAATCGATACCTGCGGCATTCTTCCGACTGGTCAGGACACGCATGCCTTGCAAATTGCACGGGGGAACGAGGGGAAGGGGGACCTACCAGGCAGGCATGGAGTCCAATCCTACGGACGAAATGAGGCACCCTGGAAGCCAGAATGGAGAAGGGTGGATGAAACCAAGTGGACGTTGGGTGGCCCCAAAGGGAGGAAGCTCTATGTCGAGACCAGAGTGAGCTGAACCGCCCTCCTCTTTCTCTCCGGAGCTCGTCCCCATTGGATCGCGTCGTCAAGGGCTCGTTGTTGGCTCGGCCTTTCTGTCGCCATCCGCCGGAGGCTGAATCACGTCCTGTTGACCTAGAAACAGATCCCAGTCAATCAGGACGCGAACATGCTACTCTCGTGACCACTCTATTGCAGCCTCCACCGTAGCTGTGCTGACATTCCGTCCGATACGAGATTATCCAGGAGCCGTCTTCTCAACTAGCGAATTGGGAACGTCTCCCATCTGCAGGTCAATGTCTCTGTATCGGACGGAGTCGAGATCTGCAGCATTTTTGTGACTGGTCAGAATCAGCATGCATTGCAGACCGCTCTTACAGGGGACCTATCAGGCAGACGCGAAGTCGGCCGCCACGGACAAAGAGAGGCATCCTGGATGGTAGAGAGTAGGCGGATCTCGATCGCTTAGCGTAGATGAAGCTCA